GGGATGCAAGGAGGGCAGAAGGAAGATGGGACCCCAGGGACTAGAAGCCCATATGACTGTCACAGTAAGGCTGGTTAGATACAGAAATGCTCCTGGGATGAAGCAGGCATGTGGTAGAACACAACAGGAAGGACTAAAGCTGTCCCTCAGATATGCTGGTGGAAAGCAAGAGTTTGCAGATGAGAAACTGCTCTGGCCTGGGGAAGGATTTGACCCTGCAGGTGTGGTCCTAAGGTGGGGTGGAGAATTTCTCCTCCGAGGGAGCAGTGGGGCCTGCAGCACATGCCTGCGGCAGCCGCATGACAAGACCAGTCCACAGATATTCATGTGTCTGAAGCTCTGGGCACTTGTAAACTGATCGTTTAAGAGTGAGAAGACTGAGAAGCCCTCCCATGCCCAAAGGGGCTGGTTCCTCCAAGGCCATCAGGAGAGTGGATTTGGCTCTGCAGCAGGATGTTTTCCCTCCCTGATGGCATTACCCAGATGTGCTTCTAGCCACTGTCCTCCAGAGCAGCACAGAGTGCCTCCCCATCCCTCCCACTGGACAAGCCAAGCCCCTCAACATCCTTCTGTGCTCCAGCAGATGCAGACCCTGTGGGCGATGCTGATCTGTCTGGCTGGAGGGCAGCTTGCAAGTTCCACGCTCTGCAACACCTATGGCAGCATCCCAGGCATCCCAGGGTCACCAGGACGGCCTGGAAGCAATGGCAGAGATGGGGAGACTGGCCTAAAGGGCGAGCGAGGTAAGGAGGAGAGGTTGCAGCTGGGAAAATGTCATCTTGTGAATGCCAAGAGTGGGAAAAGACAGTGCTGGGCGCATGGTCCTGGGAAAGCAATTCGTTTTCCACCAGTGACTTTGGGGTGTTATCAGGTGGGGGTGCTGCCTGGGGCCAAAAGGGGACAGACAGACAGGAGGAACGAAAGCAGGGCATGCCCCTGCTGCCAGGAAGGTTGGACTCTCCATTGACCCTCCCTCTATGCAGGTACTGGTGGTTTCCTTCTCAGTGCCCTCTGCAGACCCATGGGGCTTGGCTGAGACCACAATGACTCTTCCTGATGCTTTCTAGGTCCCCCTGGCCAGGTGGATCACGAAGGAGACATGGGGGAGAAGGGAGACCCAGGAGTACCAGGGCACCCTGGGAAGATTGGCCCCAAGGGCCCCCCCGGTTCAAAGGGATTACCAGGTCCCATGGGAAGCCCTGGTCTTCAAGGGGATGCTGGTGACTACAAGGCCACCCTCAAGTCCGCCTTCTCTGCTGCCAGGACCATCAGCTCCTACCCACGCCGGGAGCAGCCCATCCGCTTTGACCGCATCATCACCAACGAGAGGGGCCACTATGAGAACCGGTACGGCCGCTTCCTCTGCCGCATCCCTGGCATCTACTACTTCACCTACCACGTCACCTCCAGGGGCAACCTGTGCCTCAACGTGAAAAAGGGCCGGGGTGGCAGCAGGGGTGAGAAGGTGGTGACCTTCTGCGACTATGTGCAGGGCAGCTACCAGGTCACCACGGGTGGTGTGGTCCTCAAGTTGGCAGCCAACGAGTCCATCTGGCTGGAGCCAACAGAGAAGAACTCCCTGGTGGGGGTAGAGGGGTCCGACAGCATCTTCTCTGGCTTCCTCATCTTCCCCGATGCTTAGACTATTGAGGGTGTTCTGCATCCTTTCTTCTGTAGCTGGCTGATCCCTGCATGGCTGAGGACTCCCCTGGAAATCCAAATCTTTGCTCCAGATTTAGTGCCTGAAGCACATAGCTGCTGGTCTTGCACATTAAATGACAGCTCTTTGTGCTGCTGATTCCTTCCTGCCTGGGATTTGCCTCTTTCCCCCAGAATAATGCTCAGATATGCAGGGCACTGCTTCTCACACCCCTGGGTGCAACCTGGGGTCATTACTGCCGAGCAGAGCCAGACAACTGGTGCAGTTCCTGCTGCAGATCACAGCCACAGAGCCACACAGAGGAAGTCTCAGCCCAGGGTTAGGAAAACAGAGAGGAAAACACGGTCTCTAGCAGGAGGTGGGACACACAATGTAGTGGGAAAACTGTAGCCACTGGGTATAGGTGGTAGGTGTGCTAGAGACAGAGTTGTACTGGAGAGTCCTGAGGCTCATAGGATCTGGGGACACCAACCTCTTCTGGAAGTTTTGTTTTGGGTGGTGGTGACAATAACATCCAGAGAAGTTTGTTGAAGCTTGTGACAATGATGGGGAAGCCAGAGCTCAATGCCATGATGGAGCAGGTGTGGAGCACACAGCTATTCCTTGGTGCAGCTGAGGAGTGTCCAGAGCAGCCCTGTAACGCCAGCAGAGGACATGCAAGTCTACATGACACCATCCATAGAAAGGATCCCAACACAACAGGGACAATGGACCTGCTGGAGCGATGCCAGAGGAGGCCACAGAGATGCTGTGAGGGCTGGAGCAGCTCTGCTCTGGAGCCAGGCTGAGAGAGCTGGGCTGGGGCAGCTGGAGAAGAGAAGGCTCCTCAAGGGGACACCTTAGAGCAGCTCCAGTGCCTAAAGGGGCTCCAGGAAACCTGGAGAGGGACTTTGGGCAAGGGATGTAGGGACAGGACAAGGGGAATGGATTGTACCGGCC